GCTTGAATGGAAGATTCGATTATTGCTTCATTATAAATAATTTGATCATTAGTGTTGAAATTGTCAATATTTGCAATTGTTTGCATTACATCTTCCTTCTCAAATTGTTCTAAATTATTATTACTATTGTCCATATCATTAAATTCGATATTAGATATAATTTTGTCATGACATCTTTCATTAGAATTAGGTGCATTAATTTGAACAATTTGTTCGAAATTATTTATGTTTTTATTTTGAATATGATTTGAACGATTTTTTTCTTGGGCTATATGCCACCAAATACATGTCATTTTTATTGCATGTTTATTTGTCAGTTGGTGACATTTTGGTGAATGAATATTCGCTATGAATGACCAGAATCTTTCACTTTTAGCTGATGTAGGTGGTATAGACATAATTTGAGCAGCAAAAGTAGCCAATTCTGGTACTTCATTTTGAAGATTATTCTAGAAGTATACAGGATTTTCAACTAGATAGTCATCCCAATTTCCATTAAAGTCAAATGGATATGCTTTATTATTCCAATCGATCAACTGCATTCGAAATTTTTTTATATCCTTATCAGGAAATAAACGTTCAAATAAATGACTAGCTTCTTTCTTTACAATCATTGTAAGTTCAGGTCTAATAGCTCTTATATGAAAATATTTTGGGTGAAGAGACCAACAAATAACAAAAAGTAAACTATACATTCGATTCCATCGATGTTGTATCTGTGCAATTACATAATGCCAAAAATCTTCATCAGCAATCATATTCACAACTCCTTGTAGTCAAGCCCACAAATACATTGTATCAGCAAGTGTCGCATGCTGAGATTCTAATATAATGGGAATTAGTGAATATGGTTCTAATATTCGAACAATAACTCTTAACTGATCCCAGAATGTATTGTCCTTAAGAATTGATGTAATAGATTCATTTGACTGTAAACCTATATTGTAAACCATATCCTTAAAAAAAAAAAATATATATATATATATTAATCTTAATTTTATATTAATTATATTATATTAAATTTAACTAACCTTTAAATATTGTTCTTTGTTTTGAACTTGTTGTAATGATGTATAAAATAAATTCCATCGTGTAAATGTTGGTAATGAAAATTGAAATGTATTATTAGAAGTATGCATTCGGATATATTGAATTGCTTGAGTACTTTTTCGCATATATGAAATCACCTTTATAGCTGAACTAATCATTGTTTTCATATAAGAATGCTTCAACATATCACCGACTAAGAGATTCGACTCATGTGCAGTACAAGGTATAGTTAAGATTTTTGAATATTGCTATAATTTTACATTTATATTGCTATAATTAGTATATATAATAAAGATTAATAATAAATTAATAAAATTACATACATGTACAAGCATATTTCTCATATGAATATAATTTGCAGCACCATCTGTCACAATTGCATTAATCTTTTCAAGACCAATTTGCAATAAAACATTCTCCAGATTATTAAAAATTACTTCTGATGTTTGACTTCTTCCTTGTATATCTATAATTTTAACAAGCTCTGATCACCGATCTTTACCAATAGCCATAAAATTAACAAGATGATCTTGACGAATATTTGTCCAACCGTCAGTGGCAACAGTAATCCATGTAGATTTACATATAAATTGATTGATAAATGTTTGAACATTTGTATAAACTTCATCAAGAATATTATTAGAAAGCTGTTTTCTTGATGGAATATGATATAGATTATTTATAGAGTAAATGAATTCCTTAAATTTTTTTGCATCTACAAGAGAAAGAGGTGCGCCACCTTCAATTATACCTTCTAATAACAGTTGATTGGATTTGATTATATCATATGGTAATTGTTGATTGCTACTTTCACAATTCGAAACTGACATAGAAGGCGTAATTGATATTCAGATTGAATGTCTTGTTGATCCTCCGTATCATGAGAATGTTTTTGTTGTTGAAAATTTTAGCATTGATAAGATAGTTTCGATATTATTTTTTAATCTTTTTAAACGTTGAAAACGAAAGTATATTGATCAATTATTCGCAGTTAATCGCATAACGATAACGATAATTGATCTTTTGAACGGATTAAACGGATTATACATTGTGCAATCCGAATAATATGGATTAAAAAAATTCAAGTTGTTGTAATTCGTTAAGAGTTTTTTAATAGAAACTAAATTATTTTAGAATTGAGACCTGTTCTTCGATTATCCCGTGAACACTAAGATGAAAAGAGCAGCTATTAATAGACGTACTGTACCTTTTACCGTATTTTTTCTCTTTTACTGTTTCAATCGTACAAACCGCGGACCTCTTATTTTTCTTATATCCAATATCAAAATACACCCAAATCCAACTTCTAATATGCTTGCTGAATTGTTTTTTTTTGTTAAAATTGTCATGTTCATTCAATAATATCTGACATTGATATTTACTAGTACAAAACATCCTTTATATATTTTTTACTATTTTATTGCCAAATATCTTCATAATAATACACGATAACAAATATATATATATATATATATATATATTTAAAAAGAGTATTATAATAATGATAAGAATTCACAGATTTTATACAGATGACACCGTTATCAGATGCTTCGTATCCATGTTTGTGAATATTATAAACAATTTCTTTGCTTTATTATAGTGAGATATCAATATAAAATTAAATAATTTATTAATAGAGCCTGTAAAAGTTAGATATTAAAATTTAAATTAATTTATTTCTGTATTAGTGTTGGTGAAAGAATTAAGAATCTTAATAGTTAAACCTATAAACAATTTTACCATAGATAATTTTAAAAAAATGGTTTATTGAAACGTAATAAAGATAAAAACTTCACTAATCTATAGATGCACGATTTCGAATAACTATCGCTATGATGTATTGTGACCAATCATTAATAGATTTTATGCCCGGTACTGTTGGCACCATGCTGGGCACCAGTGCTGGTGTCAGTGCTAGTGACGGTGCCTATTGTAAAGAATGGGATTTTATTTTCTTTTTTTTTAATGTCTCGTTCCTTTATCATTTCTGTTATTTTATTTTATTTTACTTTATTCTATTCTATTTTATTTTATTCTATTTTTCTTTAATTTTTATATTATATTATATATTCTTACCCCACCAATTCCATTTTGATAACAATACCCGTGTTTATTAATAATTCCGTCATAATATAAACATTTAACGTTAATCAGTTATACTAAAAATGGGAGTTGTCGGTGGCTTAGAAGCATGAAAATCGAATGCATCATAGATACCGCGTAGACGCGGTCGTGGCAGCGAACGCGTAGTCATAGCAGCGAATGCATTGGAATTGTCGCGAATTCATAGCAGCGGTAGCGGATGCGCTGAGAATTTCGCGAATTCGTTGTAAAATTTCAAAATGTATATAAGCCCTTTTAAAATTAATAAAGTTGGAATAAGTTCCACGTCCTTCACAAATAAATAAATATTAGTAACGTAAAATACTTATCTTGTGAAATTAGACTTTAAATTTAATAAACTCTTCGTAACTCAATTCCACGGACTGAATTGACTTGTAACCTGGAACGTTTTATTAAGACTCGAATTTTCGGTGAAACTGTATTCTTAATACCTTGGAACTTGGACATGATTTTTCTTGGAAATTCCTTCGTCCCAAGAAAAGTATTATTAGAAAACGTCGAAATTAAATTCCCCACCTCCTTTGGCATCACTAGTGATGCGCCACGTACTGTACTATCTCTTAAACCGTTTGAAAATCATGCCAAATTTGGACTGAATTTTACTATAAAAATACTTCTGATCTATTTTTTAAAAAATTTAACATTTATTATAAAACGCACCTATGGTGGTTTTGCACCTATCATATGTTTTATTATGTTTTCTAGATTTTTCTAAGTT